TTCTAGGTCAAAATAAAAAATTGCCCTTTCTCAATCAAAACCCTAATTTTGACCATTTTGCCCTTTTGATGATTTGATCAAATTTCTTGAGGAATTGTGGTCCAAACTTGATCAAATGATACATATGAGTTTATAATATTGATGTGGATAAAAAATTATAAATTTTGACTGTAAATTTTCCATAGTTGACTTTTCCCCCAATACAATTGATTTTTAGGTCAACTGCTCAATTGACTGAGCAAAAGTGTGATCCAAGGCTTGAAACTTGACATGAGTAATCTTGGGGGTCCATAATGATCCATGAAAGTCATATGAAGCATTTAGAGTCCAATTATCCTTGTGCAATCTCAAACCCTAATTTTGGTCACTAGTGCTTATGGAGGTGTCTCGAGCTGATCAATCCTAGTGCAGTCTTGAACCAAGAGAGATCTTTGTGAGAAAATACTTGATAAATGAGAGGGAAAATTTTGGGGTACAACACACGTCATGATTAACACACAACATATTAAACCTCCAAAAACATTGAGAGTTCAGGCTACCCTCAATCTTAACCGCGAAGAAGAATTTTCCAAGGATATTGACTGCACCAATCTTGGCCAAAACAAAATACTCCATCCGCTTCACCAACTATTATCCTTCCATCAAGAGAGTAATTAGACACCAATATGATCTCTCTGACAATAACAGCCTTGACTACAGAGTCCTCAAATAAAGCTCCTCCTTGCTCTTGAAGCCTTATGATGCTGAGATGATGTCCCAACACTAGTCTCAGAATACCATCCACCTATCCCCAATAAACATTGAAGACCAAAACACTTCATGATGAACCACTTGTAGAAGATGTAATATTCACACTAGTGATCTATCATTTTTCCTTCAAGAGAAAACAAGAAGCAATAAACTAATATGAACTTCTCAAGTTCATACATCAGAAAATATGTCATGGCATTTGGTAGGACATCTTTCACACGCACAAACCATCATCATCAATAGTAGTTGAGGCACACTATAGCCATTAAGCAACACAAACATGATAATCTTAAAATGATCCTCCACCCCTTGCCCTTGTCAAATAGACTTTTGTACTCCTTGAATATGTCACAAGTAATAGGAGTGACATCACTGACTTAACTTGTCACCATCTTAGAAAAACTCTTCGTCAACTCATTCCTTTGTAGGGATATTTTGTTCCACCCTTTGACAGCTTCAACCATAGCAAACTGGAGGAATAATGGAGATTTTGTTGCACTCCTCCCCATATGTAATTGCTATAAATCCCCAAGGCCTTCAACACCATGAGATTTTTATTTGATGAAGCTTATTCAGACAGATAAATCATCAGCAAGTATACCATCATATTTCTTCCTACCAAAATCGTTGACTTGCTCAGGTTTTATTAGCGCCATATGAAGTGTTTCCTCCTTTTTGGAAATAATATGATGATGCAACATTTGAGAGAGAATATTAGTTTGATTCCCAACTTGATCTTCACCGCAGGTCTTTCCTTTCAATAGTTTGGATGTACCTCTGGATTCTTCCTTTGATTGGACTCTCTTCCCATGTTTCAGGAGTAACTTGTTAGGTTTTTCTGCAGCAACTTCATCTCAACCTCCTTAGGCATTAAGCATGTGGTTGAACAATTTGTTTCTTAAGGAATCCACAAGTAACAATTTTCTTTTGATCTGACTCCCTTCATAATCACTTTATTCTTCTCATTAGTCACCAGACATTTGGAAGTAGTAAAGTTGACTTTGATACCTTGATCGCACAGTTGACTAAGGCTTATCACATTAGCAGTCAACCCCTTAACAAACAACACCTTATTGAGATCTGGAAACTCAGTGGAGTTCATCCTTCAAGAACCCTTTATTTTACCTTTTGACTCGTCTCCAAAGGTGACATAACTATAGGCAAGTGGTTTAATGTTCACAAGAAACTTCTTGTCACCAGTCATGTGTCTAAAACATCCACTATCAATATACCAATCTTCCCTTATAGACGCTCTGAAGGAGGTGCGCACTACGAGTCCACAAGTGTCATTCTTGGAAAGCCTTTTCTACTTGACTTTTACATAACCCGTTATTCTCCTATGTTGTGTAATAGGATTGGGATAGCCATAAAATCTGTAGCAGAAGGATTTTAAATGTCCAAACCTTCGACAGTAATCACATCTCCATTGTTGATTTATGCCTCCATTGTACCTTTTTTGATGTCTCTACTGATGTTGAGACATGTGGTTCAACATCTTCTGCCATTGTTTCCTTTTTGAAGGTACATATTTTACCTCACGTCTTTATCCTATGTTATTTATAGCTTAATTATCATAACCAATACATTTAACCTTTACAATATTCTTCCCAATTAGAATAGTTGTTTCATCCAGAACAGTAGCGTCATTTTTTACTGAGTGATTCTTCTGTTGTCCATCATGATGTTGGAATATTCTATTTTGACATCTTCTGTTTTAGTTTTGGATGAACCACCTTCACTTCAGCCTTTTTTCCTTTGTTCTTCATAGACTGATTGACATAGTCAACCCCTTGAATATTTCCAACATTCTCGCCTGACTTAATAATTTTATCAAGTACATTATCAAGCTGTGAATTTATAAAAAGAGCTTCACCCTTCAAATCAGCTATGGCAGATAGGTGTTATACTTTTTCAGCTTCCAGACCAGATTCAGTAAACAATTTCTCTTCTTTTTCCGCCTTCAGTTGAGAAATAATGTTCTCTTGTCTTTTTATCAACTGAACCTCCTATTGAATCCCGAGGAACAACTCTTTGTAGAAAGTGGCAAGATCTTCAAGAGTCAGATCTCCAACAATTGTTTCATTATCCGAATCAGAAATTCCAGACATGGCATTCACTTGCTTGGCAGATTCCTATATACTATCATTGTCGGAGTCTTCTTTTGACCAAGACACTAACATAAATTTCTTCTACTTATTAAGATAGGTGGGACACTCAGGTCTTATGTGCCCAAATCCTTCACATTCATAACACTGGACTCCTCTTCCTTGGCTGGATTTTTCATTCGTTCCGTATTTTTCTTCAAAGTCCTGGTTCTTGTTGATGTCAAATGGCTTGTCAGATGACTTGTTCCTGGTATTTGATCTTGATTTCCAGTCAATCTTCCTCAACACTTTTTTGAATTGTTTTCCAAGAAGCACAACAACATTGGACATCCCTTCTTCTATATCCAAGTCGCACTCATCTTTTGGATCATTGGTGTTAGAGACAAAGGCTATACTTTTTTTCTTTTCAGATTTTTCATTCATCTCTAACTCAAAAGTTTGTAGGGACCACATGAGCTCATCAACCTTCATGTTGTTTATGTCTTGAGCTTCTTCAATGACAGTGACTTTCATGTCAAATCTCTTAGGCAGAGATCTGAGTATCATTCTCACTAGCTTGGCTTCTGACTGCTCTAATACCAATTGAAATTCTGGTATTAAGATCACAAATGTCCTAAGAGATGTCGAGACACCTTTCTCTGAGATTGGACATAGTAACAAGGTAAACAGTAAACATAGTGCAGAAAAATAAAGAACACACATAATTGTTAATCCACTTCGGTGAATCAACACACCTACTCTGGGGGCTACCAAGCCAGGGACCAATTTAACTAGATATTATCAATTCGTAGACCCACATCAAACTTTCACCTAGTTTACAATCTACTCACTTAATCACTACCTATGTTTAACTTCTACTTAAGACTCACCTAGGTATGCGACTCTTCTCAAATTCCTTTCAATCACAGCACAGTGACTGAACAATTCTAAACACTTAGAATAAAAACATAAGTCACACTTTAACGACACACAATCATTCTCTACTTCAAAGCTTTAGAATGATTGATAGAACTTATACTCAAAAGTACAATCATATTCTTTCTTCAACATGATAATCGAGAGGCTCAAAATAAGCAAACAAAGTCTAATAAAAATACACAGTAAGTTCCACACTAATACTAGGGTTGAAGTCTTCCTTTTATAATCTTCAATATATTGGATTTGGGCTTCTTCGAACATAGCTGGACATGATAGTGGCGCTGTAGAATTATCTCCTTAAAGATAGGACATCAATCATTAGTTTCCTTAATTATCACTATAATTAGAAACTAAGAATACTCGAAATCAGCTTGAATCTTCTCAATCTTCAAATTGTGTACCATATAGGATAGCATAATATTTCCAGAATATTCTGCACATGTAACAACTAAAAAATTTAACAGTCCAGCTGTATAGAATCACGATGTCGAAAGAACCTTCATAGAACATCGTATTCGACATGTTACACCAGATGATGGAACATCTTCATTTAACATATTTCTACTAAATTCATTTTACCAAATATAATGTCAACCACAAAAATAGAGAAATAACAACCCTTTTCACTCAAACATCACATATCTTAAGAGTTAAGATTGTATTCTTTATAGGCTTGCTCTTGATTCAAGCATGAAATTAACTAGTATTGACATCACCCTCTTAAAGTTACTTAACTCTAACTCTTTAAAAAAACTGGACATCTTTAATTAGATTAAGAGACCAGAGATACACCACCATCTTCCTACCTCTCTTCCCTCAAAGAAACAATTTGAGAATCAAAATCACCAAAAATGTGGTGATTTCAAAATTTCAAAGCACCTTTAAGGATTTAACTTCTCTTTTAAAAATAATATCGGTTAACTTTTTTCGACTCAAATAGTAGGTAACAAATAAAGTATTAACTCAGAGTTTTATTTGGATTTAATTCATATATTTTACAAAATTATAATCTATCTAGTGAACTAATTAAACTAAAATAATTAACAAACTTCAATTAAAGACAAATCATTCAATAGAATTCAAATTCTAACACAAATAATGGTCACCTACCTACAAAATAATCAAAAGAAAGAAACAATAATACATTCTTCATGATAGTTTGCATCCAACTAAGCTAACAATTTCTCCTAACTCATACTTTACCTAAAAAACTAATCTTCAACTACATTACATGAGTTGCACCCATTCACCAAAACTAGGCACACCCTCATGCACCAAAAACAAAAGATAATAACCCGGTGGTGCAATCTCTTGAGTAGATGGACCCAAAACAGTAGCATAATAAGTCTCCAAATTCACCATTGTTATCCCAATCAACTTCAAAACCACCATCCTCTGATTCATTCCATAAGAATGTGTGGTAAACGACGGCGCCAATAACCTAACCGAAACATCGCTCGCCGAACCAAAATTACCTACGGTAAATGTAACATAATAGAAAACCCTATACCCTAATATAGTGTTGGTGATATGTCGAATCGTTGGCCGTATCGGATAAAACTCCGGCGACAAATACGGTGGAGAAAACGCTTCTAAGCTTAAATCAGTTGGAAATTCAACTCCAGTGAAATTGTAGTTTACATGTGGATTACTACCACCAACTAAAACTCTTCCATCTTTTAACACCACTGCAGAAGAATGATAAAGCCTAGGTCTATAAGCCGGTGACATCACGCTAAACCGTTTCGATAACTCAGTTTCCGATGAACGGAAAATCACCGGTGTTAAAACCGGTTGACGCCCGTTTTCCCAACCAGCAGTCCCCGATCCAGCGCCGTTGATTATGATAACATCGCCGTTTGGTAGAATTAACATATCTCCCATAACTCTTTCCATTGGCATTTCCTCCATAACCCAACTAGGGTTTGAGTCAGTTACTTTGAGAAATCCACATGTTGTAAGTGCTTTCACGAATGTGTTTTGCTTCGAAGCAGCTTCGAATGAACCACGAGGCGCTCCTCCACAAATCATGACTATAGCTTCAATGGTGGCTTGGTTTTCGTCGAGCGGAAGAAGAACAGATGAACCTGAACTTGGATAGTTATGAGGATCACCACCTGGAATCTCGGGAAACTCTTTAACGATCACGTTGTTTTTGTAATCTAGTAATATAGATCGTGTGTTTGCGAATACGAAAAGGTTTCCGTTTGGCAGAAGATGAACGAAAGGATATAAGTTGTTTTCGCTTGGATCATTGGTTTCTTGAAGAAATGGAAGATGAATTGAAGACGATGATGAAGAAGATGTTGTTTCTTTAGGAACAAATTCGTAGTTGAATTGTCTTCTACCTCCGATTATGATAATGCGGCTATCCGGTAGTATTTGATTTGTTGCATACCATCTTCTTTCGGATAAGTAGCTCGGGAACTCGATCCAATCGCAAGTATTATCGAAACATGGTGTAAACATTCGGATTCTACGTTCTCCGTCGTTGAAACCACCGGTTTGGACTAATGTACCGTTTGGGAGGACAGAACCTGAGGAGCACCATGTATCTGTTTGTACAGTTAAGGACCGGAAGGTGTTGGTTAAAATGTCGTAAAGAATGGAGTGAGCAGTGCAATCGATTTGAAGGGCGGTATCGAATGGATCCATTCGACAATTGCCATTGGAAAGAGGTAGATTTGAAGGGCCGAAATCGGTTCGATCGAAAATGATGATTTTGTCATTGTGTATAAGTTGCATGTGCATGGCTGAGATTCCAATGGTTGGTTGTAATAATCGCCATTCTCCTTGATTGCTAAAGGGTAATGAGAATGAGAATGATGATGATAATGTGAGAAGAAAATGTGGGATTAATGAAGATATTAAGAAGAAAATTAGGGTTAATGTGCTAGAGTTCATTGTGTGTGAATAGTTTAGAAGAGAAAAAAGAGGTAGAGGTAGAGTTTAATTAGTATTTTTACTAGTAAAGTGTTGGTGAGACTTAGGTTTGTTTAGTATAAAATTAATAGAATCCATACTTTAACGGCATGATTATATACATGAGATATGTATTGATGGTTTTTGATGGAAAGATTATTTGAATGAAGTGATGAATTCGGCAATTAAAAGGGAGATATTCAAGGAATGTTGTTTAAGGCCAAGAATTGTGATTCGTAAACGTATGCGATAGATCTTGAATCCCACATGTTTAGAAACAAAGAAAGACTAGGCAATGGACTTGTCAAGGTGGTAAGTACTTGGGTTGTGGTTATATTTATAGTTTTGGATTAATTTTATTTTTGTTTTCTGAAAATTATTTAACTTTAGTTAATGACAAATGAATCGAATCAATTAGAAAATAATTTAAGATTAATCGTATTTAAACTTAAAACTATAATCTATAAAGGAGTTGAACTTGATCTCGGTATAAATAATAAATTTGCTCATAAAAATATTTAAGATAATTTAAACACAATATAAATATTTAGTCATATTTTAAGTCTTTTTAAAATGAAACCATCATTATTTAAAACTTAACGCTCATAGCAAAAAAAAAGATTTTTTTTTAAATAATCACTTTTTTCAAATAATCACATTTTCAAAAAATTTACTAAAATTATCACTTTTCAAACAAAAAAATTTCGCCACACAGAGGAGGCTCCACTCTGTGTGGCGCATGCACTCAAATTAAAGAGGAGGCGCCACACTGCATAGCTTGTCCTCCTCTGTAAAGCCATGCAGTGTGGCGCAAAGTTATGCAGTATGGCGCATGCATGTGTTTTTGAGAGGAGGTGTCACCTTCCTTGACTTGATAGTGTAATTGTATTTTTTTTAAAAAAAATAAAAAAAATAAAAAATATTTTATATTAATATTTAATATTATACAACGCATGGATATATTTTTTATGGACGTCCCCTCAACCTAAGCGGGTCCCCGTATGACATAAACGGACGCGCCTTTGCCTCGCCCCTTGTCTCACTCCTCTCTGTTGATTTTCCTGAGGTGTTTGTGGTCTGTTCTGAATTGCTTGATTATGAGGTGCTTGATGTGATGATCCTGGTATATCAGGATCATACATCTCATCGATCATTTCGCCCCACTGAGCTGTGCTTCCAAAGAGATTGGTGTCCATATTGTTGAAGTTTGGTCTTGTTGGTTGGGATATGTGTGGGTGGTGGGGTGGTTGATAGTATTGGGATGTTGAATCATGATGAAAACGAAGCAACAGTTCTTGTCGTGTCTGAAATCCGTATGATGGTTGGGTACTTCGATGGTAGGATGTTTGATCGTATGGAGGTTGAGTGGTATGGTAGGAAGGAGATGTATCATATGTGTCTTGGGTGTTGTGGTAGGATGAGGATGGTGCATATTGTTGGTGGTGGATCGGGTCATGCTCATGGTATTGTGTTTGTGTGTGTGGCATGAATTGATGACGAGTTTGGTTGAATGAGGTGGTGTATGGTTGTTGGGTTTGAGTGGGTTGACATTGCGGTTGGGTTTGGTATTGTTGAGGGTTGGTTATTGGGTCTGGTATTGTTGAGGGGTTGGTCTTCGGGGTTGTTGTTGGGCGTATGTTGCAGCTCTTTGGCGTGGGTCAATCAAATAAGTCTCTTGAGACAGAAACAAATTTGTTGAAACCGATGTGTACCATCTCAAATATTGGAGTGTCAGTTTTAAGTCATCTTGCAAGATCGGATCCCTTAGGGCCAATTCACGTCTATGCCTCCATTGACGACATTAATTTTTAGCGAAGTCTCTCAAATCGTTAAATCCCCACTGGTCGTCAACACGGAGTAGATGCCATTGGCACAAACATGTTGAGGGGTCGAAGATACCTTGTTGCAAGCTGAACTGTAGCTTCACACGATCACTGTGGTGCATCTCCACAGTAGTGAACCTGATGAGTGTTATTTTTGCAGTCCAGACTTCAGCGTCAAGAGGGTTAATCTCATGGTCGAGATCCTTATACGGCCTCCATACAAACTGTAGAGTAAAAAAAGTTATATAAAATATTAAACTTAATTAAAATATTCAATGCGTTGTATAAAATATATAAGTTTAATACCTCTTCGGGTCCAACATGATCAATAAGATTTCGGTAGACTACTATTGCGTTTTTAGGGGATTTGTTGTAATTCATCCCAGGAACAGACCACCTACATAAAAAAAATGGGCAATAAATTAATACACTACATGTCTCGGTATATAATATGTAAAATTTATGGTTTTGTAATCTTACTTTGTAGCAAAGGGGAAGACGAATGGCCTTGTATTGGTGGGGGCGAGTGTCAGCATTCTTGACCAGCACCATGTCTGGAGCAAAAATGCGCAAGAATAGAAAGAACAGGTATGGTTCAATGCATTCTTACACAAAGAGCTATACAGATGGGCCAAAACAGCGGAACCCCAACTATATGTGTTTATTTCATTAAATTGTCTTAACAAGGGTAAATATATGATATTAACAGTATTACCCGTTGTTTAAGGAAAAAAAATGGCCAAATAATATCATTAGGTAACACCGAGCTTTCCTAATTTTTTCTTGCTCGGTAGAGTTTTCGGTTATTACGAGACTACTATGATATTTTCTAAGAAGACAGAGATTAATACCTTGGCCTCTTGATCCTTGTTCAAATAAAGAGACTCCCAAAAGTTCCTCGCATATGGTGTTGTCTTGGTTGACTCGGCCATTGAAAGCCTTACCGTCGATCGGTAGACCGAATAACATGTACACGTCCTCTAGTGTGACTGTACATTCACCACATGGAAGATGAAAGGTGTGAGTTTCGGGTCTCCATCTCTCCACTAATGCGAGAATAATTTTATATTCAACATGGTAATTGACTATGTTGAGTAACGGACTAAAACCGACATGTCGTAAGTACGGTTCAATTTGAACGTCGTAAGGGATATACTCATGGACACGACAACAAAATCTTTTAACATCCTATTAAAAACATGAATTACGTATAAGAAATACAATATTTAGGTATAACAATCATAAGAATTAAGGAACAAAAAATTGTGGCAAAAAATAGGTTTTGAGAAAATACACTTACAAAGGTTTTATTGTTGTTCGGAGTTCCTCTATGTTGATCACCCATGGTCAAGAGGGACATTTTTTCTTGATTAATCTTGTGGTATTGTTGAGACTTCAAGAAAGAAATAATGTATGAGTTATGAATGTGATGAAAATATAGGGTGAATGTTACATGTATTTATAGGAAAATCTTGAAGAACACTTTGCATGCAACTTATACACATAGGCGCGACACTAGGTGGCACATGCTTTTCTTTCTTGCACATAGGCGCCACACTAGGTGGCGCATGCTCTCTTTATTGTACATAGGCTCCATTCAACATGGCTTATTGCTTTTTGCATGCATGCAAACCTGCAGCGTGGCAGGGATCAGATGGCATGCATGCAAGTTTTGTTGTTCAATGACAAGCCACCTTAGATGGCGTATGCATGCAAAAAAAGGAGGATAAGCCAACATAAGTGGTGCATGCTTACATAAAGAGGAGGATAAGCCACCTAGTGTGGCACATGCATGAGAAAATAGGAGGATTAGCCACCTAGGGTGGCGCATGCATGCAGAATATCAGTCTATTTAATCGTCTGTGTAGGTTGCATTACCAGTATACATCCATAACTCACAAAAAAATACCTCAAAAACATGGATCATTCACAAAATTATACTATTGTTGCCCATATTAACGGTGAGACATTCAACTATGATAACTTAGGTTTTAATTTCCATAATACTGATTTTATCCGCTTTCGGATAAACAGGAAATCCAGTTTTGCATGCTTCAAAGATAGAGTAGAACCCAAATTGCAGTGTGGTCCAGTTTACCAAATTCTTTATAAGTCCCCATTTCTATTTGACAACAACCGAGTCAAATTTTATCAAATTAAGGTGCGCGACGATGATGATGTTTGAAACATGTTTCGAACTCATGAACAATTTGGGTTCGATTAGATTAAGCTGTATGTTTTATTACAACAACCAGATCAATCTCAGGTGGTAGATCCTTCTGAAGACTTTGAAGAAGAGGACGAATCTGACAAGGACAACCATCCTGAAGTCGATGTTATTGACCAGTAAGAAGAAGATGATGAGGCAATGATTGATTTTATGGTCAATGATGACGCTGCAGATCAAGAGCATGAACCTATACCTGCAAGTCATGCGTACGACCCTTCGTTTCACATGACGAACTTGAACTTGGGGGAAGATGAACCAGCCTCAGATATCTTTCACGATCCTTATGTGCAGACCGAAGGGGCCTTGAAAGTTGGAGACAAATTTCGAACAAAATAAGAGTGCCTTAGAGCTATCAAAAAATACCACATGGAAATTTTAGCTAACTTCACTGTAGATAAAAATAATTCAGGGAGGTACGTTATTTTATGTCGTCAAAAACCAATTTTCCCTTTTCGGTTAACTGTATCTTACAGGAAGAGAAGTGATTCATGGGAAATAGGTTCCATTGATCCACTCCACACTTGCATCACCACCGTTCCGACACAGGATCATCAGAAACTTAGTTCTTAACTAATATGTCAAGAAATATTTCCTCTTATTAGCAAAGATTTATCATTAAAGGTGAGTACAATTATTTCTCATATCACTACGAGATTCAATTATACTCCCTCTTACAGAAAGGCATGGATCGGGAGGACTAAGGCAGTTGAACTTGTGTACGGTAATTGGGAGGAATCGTACAAAGAACTTCCAATATTTTTGGTGGCACTCAAATATTATGCTCCGGGAAGTGTTATAATTTTGGAGACACTTCTGGCTTTTACCCCAGACAGAACTCGTGTTAGTGGAAATGGAATATTTCATCGATTGTTCTGGGCGTTTGAACCATGCATCAAGGATTTCTTCATTTTGCAAACCTATTATACAGA